TATGTTAGGCCACAGCGCAGCTTTAGTCAGGCACAGAGCTGGGGCCGTATTGATAGTGTTATCGGACGACATTATCGATAAAGCTATCTAATCAGCAATCGGGTTCGCGCGAAGAACATCCGTTTTCAGCATCCCCCTGATGCGCCGAGACCTTGAGATGAACTGCTCATGAACGCTGCATAACCACCTCGTGTCACCTCAACAGCCGAAGCATGTTTCCCCCTTTTTTGTTTCTAGAAAACTTCGACGTCACACAGCATTGTCCAGTTTTCCTGTCACCGAACGTTGGTACCGACAACAGACGAAATACCAGAGGGCGCCCAGAGTCTGGGTCGTTCGAATTAGCGTCAATTCTGCCCTGTGGTTCGCCGTCTGGAACAGGCAAGTGCCTCCTTGCAGGGAGGAGTCTAGACTCGAGCCACCCAACGCATCCCGCAAGTCCAATTCCCGAGATTCTGCGGCAGTTTTCTGCTTCCCCAAGCCCTCGGATATGGGGCCCCCCTTTCCTACCCATCCTGCCGGGCCTTGCAATGAGCAGAGAGTCTGCCACGGCACTGCACACAAATACCGGCAGTGGACTGAGCCTGTCTCCACAGCCAAATGCGGCTTTTTCAAACGAACATCGCGAGATTGTGATGTGGTCCTCCTGCGCAGAAGTCTCGCGGTTCGCCTCAATCCGTCAATCTCCTCCGTTCTCGCAATAAAAGATGCAATCAACATCTTCGGGCACGTTTCCATCGAAAAGACCGACATGGCCCGGCGGCTTTGCTGAATCGCGTGCCTGCTTAATGCGAATAGAGCCATGGTCGACGTTCCATCGAGTCCGTGTCCGGATGCTCTCCGAGATGGAGGGGACGTGAGATCCTCCAGGCGAGTACAATACTTGCGCGTGTTGTGCTTCGTGGGGACGGCCCGACTGGTTGAAGGTCTCTTTTTTCGTAAAGGCCTCGCGACTTTTCCGCCTTACGAACCCAGGGGACCCCTCCATCCTGGGCACTCCTCGAATCTCTCGATTGCCGGGATTTCTCTCCCACGGAGATGTCGATGGATCCGCCCTTCTGTGTTTTTTTCCTTGCGCGGCCAAGCACTCCATCAATGAGGTGCCCTACGGTTGTGGAGTTTTGTTTCCACCAACGGGAGCTCGAGATGTTGTTCTTCAACCCCAAATCAAAGACAGGGGGTCCTTCAATGGTGGCCGCAGATAGACTGGCAATGGCTCTTGGGTGCCCTGGGTCCTTGACTTCTGGATAATGAAGCTTGCTCGGTTTAAGGTACAAGCCGAGAGCTGTCAAGGCGAAGGGGGCTCCCTGTTGGCTTCCCGAAGCTTTGTATTTAAGCTTGATGGCAGCCGGCTAACACGGCATGTTTGCTGATCCTTCTTAGTACTCACTCACAGCTGCAGTCTCTCCTTCTCCTACCTCTTTGGTCTCTTTCACAGCAAACATGGGTCTCTACAAGTTCCTTCTGGCCATCTTGCCGGTCGTGTTGGCTGCCGACATCTATGTCTCGCCCACCGGCTCCGACTCTGCGGCCGGCACCCTCGCGGCGCCCCTGAAGTCGATCCAGAGCGCCGTCGACAAGGCCGTCGCTGGTGACACCATCTACCTCCGCGGCGGCACATACTCGCCCACGACCAACATCAAGGTCGCCAAGAGCGGTACATCCGCCAAGCCTTACACCATGACGGCGTACAACGACGAGGCCGTGATCCTTGATGGTGAAGCCCTTCCCGGCACACCCGCCGCGCTGGACGCCTCCCTCGCCAACGCCGACCGCGGCGTGCTGCACATCGAGAAGGCCAACTACTGGAAGTTCTACAAGTTGACCATCATCAACGGCCCGTACGGCGTGTACCTCCGCGACGGCTCCAACAACTACTTTGAGCGCATCGTCACTCACGACAACTACGAGACCGGCTTCCAGATGCAGGGCTCCCTCAGCAACAACCAGGTTGTCTACCTCGACTCCTACCGCAACCGCGACCCCCGCAAGAACGGCGAGAGCGCCGACGGCTTCGCCTGCAAGGAGGGCTCCGGTACGGGCAACATCCTCAAGGGTGCCCGTCTCTGGGAGAACGTCGACGACGGTCTCGATCTCTGGTAAGACAAAGCCTCCTCTGATACCTTCCTGGCACGACTAAGATGGCACGACAGGGAATTCAAGTCCCCCGTCACGATCATGGACACCCTCTCCTGGGGCAACGGCGTCAACCGCTGGGGCTTCACTGACTTCCAGGGCGACGGCAACGGCTTCAAGCTAGGCGGCGGCGACGCGGCGGACATTGGCTCCGCGGACCACGTCATCACCAACTGCATCGCCTTCCAGAACGCGGCCAAGGGCTTCACGGACAACAAGAACCCGGGCAACTTCCAGTTCTCGCGCAACACGGCGTGGAACAATGGCGAGGTCGGCTTCCAGACCATCACGACCAAGTCGACGCTCAAGAACAACGTCGCGAGCGGCAACTCCAAGACGACAGCCAAAAGCGGGCAGACGTCGCTCGTCAGCGGGACGACCAGCAGCGGCAACTCCTGGGACGGCAGCGCAACGTGGTCCGACGCCAGCTTCAAGAGCGTCGACGTCAGCCTCGTCAAGGGCGCGCGCCAGGCGAACGGCAAGATCGCCGCGAGCAACTTCTTGATTCCCACCTCCGGCGCTGCTATCGGTGCTACTACCACCTGGTCTTAGATCCTTGTCCTCGGTCATCTTAAATACTGGCGCAATGCTTTAGAACAGTCCTTTTCTGTACATACTTATTTTGCCGTAAATACTTAGCTAGACTGCCGTTGTGCAGAGTACATAAATCCACCGGTACATACTCTCTGAAAGTCAGTCGCATCAGTGCCGGGTTGAAGTGGTACGATTGCCACTGTGCATGAATCGTAGTTTGCCATCAAAGCCGGTAGCCTTAGTCACAGAATTTTGCCGTATATTGAGCTGAGCGCATGGGTAGTCGATGGCCAAGAGACTGGCATTCGTGTTCAACCTCAAAAAGCTCGGCATAGGGCCATGCGTTCATTTGCGTGCCAACGTTTCTCGGCTGACATTTTGCGTATCGACAGCAGCAACTGACATGAAGTGAGAATAAGCTCATCAGGGCGATATCAAGCCCGTTGTCGTAGAAAAGGGGCACGAGCGCGGCGGAGCTTTTTGGTGATGGTCGCAAACTCAAATTTCAGAACCATGTTTATCCACCAGGGCCACCCATCTTGGCTGAGGGCGTTGGCACCTGTTGGCACCAGCTGGCAAGAACCGCCGCAGTTGTGCAGAATTGTGAAGAACAAAGCACAGGCGCAGAGGCAAGTAAAAAAAATAAAACAAAATAAAAAGGCTCGGAACGGCAAAACCCGCACCCGGAGAGCTCGGAATTTCTCGTCGGCAATTTCCATATCGTGATGGATTTTTCTGGCATCAGCGACGCCGTCAAACCCCCACGCCCAGCAGCTCTGCCTCGCGACGACTGCCCCGTCCGACCGCACCACATCCGCACTCGCTGAACCGTGCACGATCTGACATTCCGATTCTCTACAACCTCTTCAATCTACAATTTCCACCGCAGAACCTGCTGCGACTAATACGTCAAGATGGTGAGTCTCCATTTGCCGCCCCCTCCCCTCCGATGCGCCACCGCATCTTCCGCCTCCACCCCGAACCCGCCGGAACCCCAGAAACACCACTTCAAAACATGGTATAAGCTATTCCAAGGTGCTAACAAGTCTTGCTTGCAATCAGGCCTACCGCCTCGTGACCCAAGTCCTCTTCGTCGGCACCCGCATCGTCGGCCGCTCCTTCGCCGCGGCCTACAAGCAGGCGCAGGCCTCGTCCGAGTACGCGCGCGCGCAGGCCAAGAACGGCAACGGCGGCGGCGTCGCGGCCAAGGCGAGCGGCTCGGGCGGCATGACGCTCGACGAGGCGTGCAAGATCCTCAACGTCGACGCGCCCAAGGAGGGCGCGAGCAACGCGGGCGAGGTCATGGAGCGCTTCAAGCGGCTGTTCGACGCCAACGACCCGAAGAAGGGCGGCAGCTTCTACCTGCAGAGCAAGATACTGCGCGCGCGGGAGAGGCTGGAGAGCGAGATTGGGCCGCTGGTGGAGAAGGAGGAGGCCGAGGCCGAGGTGAAGGAGGGTTTTAAGCCCAAGATTTACAAGGACCGGTGAGCGGTTGAGGGGTTGAGCCGGGGGGCTTTGCCTCGGTTCTGAGGAGGGACGATCGACGATGGAACGAAGACGGGAGGGCTGAGAGTCTCATTGGGATAAGACTTGAGAGGGCCCTCCTGGATCAGGGAACTGTATTGGAACAACTTCACTCGACTCCGCATGGCATGGCGTTTTGGGCAGGGTGGATCTGTGGCGCGGCACCGCCTGCATTGGCATGGTTAGACGATAAAAAAAGGGTTGCGCATGTGTTAATACTGTACTATAAGAGAAGACAACCGCCGAGGTGAGGGGTTTGGACCGATCAGAGGTCATTAGAGAATGCAGACCTTGTGTTCTACTCATTGATGAATTGAGGCTACATATTATGCGTAGGATGCCACGCGGAGATTATCCTTCGCTTGCCTTTGCCAAAGCCGTTCCTTCATGTCCGGAACATAGGCAAGGGTAGAAAGGCAAAGAACAAAAACGTTCGACGGCCAATAACTTTCTCCGGAACAGAAGTAACGGATTCCAGAGGACATGGGGGGGGGACTTTGTGATACATCCCTAAACTAATATTTGATTTTCAGGCGTGGCCAGTTTCCGTCTCCGTTGTGCTAGCAGCCTTGTGTCTCTCTGCTGGACAATGTCTCGTATCGCAGGTTGCCAGATACCAGCTCAATCAACATATCTCTAAGCCACTTATTGTTCCTCTTGAGGTGTCAACCTCGGATCTTGCAAAGAGCATCCCTCATCTCCAAGACATCTTTTTCCTCCCAACCTTTATCATCCTGGAAAGTAAAAGCTTCATCGTGGTCGTCATCTGAATCACCTTGTGGAGTCCTCATAGCTTCCCTCGTGAATCACGTCAGACATACTGTAAGCAATGACACCCGACAAATCTGCGTTTGCGATGATTGGAACCCGGCTGACCATGCTCTCTTGCATGATGATGCATAGGTAGGCGGCGCAAAACGAAGGCAAAGGCACTGTCCAAATAGTGCAGGGAAGCGACTCATCAGCTGGTGCGACGAAAGACAGCTCGTCTTGTTCAATGCCGGCCAGGAGGGCGGCGCGAGGATGAATCGACTTTCTGGGTTACCGTATGTATAGCGAGTGCCTTGTTGCGCTTGCTCGGTAAGGCACAATTTTGGGAATTCGTCATCTTTAGTGAGACGCAAGCCGCTGGCTACGGCGATGTTGTTCGCTAGCTGGATCTGTTCATCGGAGGCCAGGTAAATAAAGTCCTGGGTTTGTTGTCAGGCTTGTAGTCAATGAAAGGTTTTTGAGCAGGTCTGGATACTGGTGGCTTAACGTTCGAGTCACGAGCGGGTAGGCTAAACGGACGAGTAGAGGTGTCTCCCATTCCACAATGGTGATCTTGGATTCTTCAAACCCCTCTAGCGTTTTGAACAACCGAGAATCCATTGCAGGCGGCACGCGGAAGTGAAGTGCTCTCAGCGAAGAAGAAAGGGAGCAGAAGACAGGCTTTGATTTAGACACTCGAGGTTTTATGCAGGTCAAGGCCTTGGTAACGTCTCAAGGAAAGAATGGCTTTGGTTCAGTTCAGGGTGGGGAGGACGGCCCTTCTCAAGCACGACATAATGGAGCCAAGTGGAAAGAACCGGGAGGTTATGTTATCCATTGCAGCAATCTCTAACGTTGAGAAGTAGCCCCTTCCTGAAAACAGCTAAATCTATTTCAGCAAGGCGGAGTCGAATACATCAGGTTGAGTAAAAGTCAGGAACCCTGAAAGCGCCCCTTCTATAACAGACAACGTCCCGACCAAAGAGGCAGCCAGCTCTTCGGCGTCACTGCAAGATTTACTGGGCTTTAGAGCTCTTGCTCAGTGTAGGCCGTGGCTCGTAACGCGTGTCACAACATCCAACTCTGGAAAGAGTCAGTCTTGGTAGGAAAGAGCACTGCAGAGCCCGTATAACGTAGCCTCAAATCAGTTCCCATCTGCTGACACAACGAGTAGAAGTAGGAATCGATCGACCATGAGCCTGTCTGTTTTTGGCGAGACAAACTGGGCCGGAATGGACACAAATGCGTCATTGGCCATGGTCGAGAGTTATCAGGCCCGAGAGATGGCACCGAGAAGCATCACTCAGGCCATTCCGCGTCTTGGAGAAATCTGTGAAGACCTTCGGTAAGCGTCAGCCGCCTTGTGGGGGTCCATCATGTCGCAAGGAAGCCGTTGCGAGGTAGCGAGTCTGTTGAAACTCGGATGTTAGCGGGATTAGAGCGACAAATTACCTGGCCACTTACTATACACATCAGGATCCAGGCAACAACAGTCATTGCTGGAGGCAAGAGCGCAGCCTTCCGCATAAAAGAGCAATGCAACAACCCTAGAAGACCCATCGTGCCGAGAAACGGGTAGAAAATGAGATAGAAGCTGGCTAACTTTGCGAAAAAGCAGGCTTCCATCCCTTGTAAGCGACTGGGCCCCGGCGAAAAGAAGCCCAGACGCGGGGGGATGCGCAGATAAGTCGTTTGAATCGTGAAGCATCGCTCGCCGATAGAACGAAACAGCGGCTTATCGCAGTCTCGATAAGGGTCGGTGTCAAAAACCCAGCTATAAATATTATACCCAGCGTCTGCCAAGATTGCTAGGATCGCCTCGTCCATTGGAACTCGTCTCGGGTACAGATTTGTCTGCATAGTATGTTAGAATAAGAGAAGGAAAGAAAAGAAAGCAGTAGGAAGACAAAGAGGTAACCTCTTTTACCCCCTTCTGACTTCTGAAAGCCACCTACCTTGGTGCGGGGCGCAGATAACGGGTCAAGACACTACCTACTGGTTGATTCAGGGGTAAAGGATGGGATAGCACTATGACGTGAAAACCACTCCTGCTATTCAGAAACATTATGTGAGCCTAAGTGCCACATTCTTCCGGATTACCAAGGACAAAATATCAATTTACAGGCAGAATGCTCTTACCGCGTTTCCCGGAGCTGTTATGTGGACAACCTTGATGGTTTGTCTGTCAAGCGTTCGACTAATGTTAGTTCCAGATTTTAAGAACAAATGAAGATGAAATGACAACTTCAATCCCAACGGGCCCCATATATTCTACTGCAAACTTCCAATCCAGGACGGCCAAAAGCAAAAGGCTAAGATCTCACGATCTACTCATTGCTCAGAGGCGGATTCGAACCGCCGTCAACACGGAGCGCTGTGTGAAGAAGACCACAACGTATCATCCTAACCAACTAGACGATCTGAGCGAATGGTTTTGTGCTTCCTTGGAAGTGTAGACGGGCCCGCAGTGGAATGGGCCCATCATGCTAGGGCTTGCTGGAGTGGAGCAAGCGATGAGGTCTGCTTGGATATATCTTCTTTCAAGGCCGCTTTTGGATCCGCATCTGAAAGAAGCAGAGTGGGTTGTATAGCTGGCGGGCCAAGGTAGTTGAGAACATCATGCTGTTGGAGATACTGAATTTTTGAGTGATGCTACTCCTGTTGAAGCTGGGAAATACCTGCGGCCAATGAGTCACTGTGTTGCTGGAACTAGTGGAGTTTCAACACATGATGAAATACCGGGCGATGTAGTTGAAAGCAAGAAAGCCGGTAGGACTTGAAGACAGGAGAAATGGTTTGACTTCCATCATTTTAGATATTGCTCGATGCGAGACGACTAACATCCTAAGGTGTGGACAGCGTAGTATCATCAATGTTTCTTGCGGAGTTTTGGGTTAAGAACACACTGTGGAAGTGCTTTAATGTTTAGATAAGGTTTGAGAGCGATGCTCACTTCGTCGTAAGTCGCCGGTGTGGTTTGCAAGTGTCATTTTCTTTACGAAGAAACGAGCAATGCCAGGTAACTGAAATTAGCTCCATTTGAATGGCTAACAGCAAAAAGGCCGCTACGACAGAGTGCAGACTGGTGGTGTCTAAATGTGTCGTCATGAGAGCTACTTCCCATGTGCCTAGCCCATTCCTTGTCCCGTGAGAGTGTGTCGGAAGACATTGGAACCGTGCCTGTAACAGTCCTGCTTGAAGACAAGAAGTATGAGAGCAAGCCGTAAGTTTGTTCCATATATTGAGGAGATAGAACGGCACTTGTAACCAATCAGAGAATGCTGACAAGGCGCAGTATCCTGGTTAAGATTTCCTCCAGCCGTGTAATAGACAACTACGTCCAAAAGCGTGACCAATATGGGCGCATGGAACCACTTAACACAATTGTTTTTGCATCATCTTCATCACTCAATTGTCTTCTCGCAGGTATTTACAGCATGTCTCGTCCATGAAGTTGAGGAAGTCCACCCCCGGCAAGACAAGATGTTCAATTTGTCTTCCCCCTTGTTCAAGCGAGCGACCCAATAAAAAGCAGCGACGCAATTCGCGACCTCGGACTTGCAGCAGAACTTTCTTTTTCTGCAACAATCAGTGGCGAAAAAAACAGATCCCTTCCCCTGCTAGCGGCCATTGCAATTCATCAAGATTGCTGGGGGTCTCGTAGTTCCTCTCTATCTCGCGTTTTCCCGCGCAGCACACCCAATGGGAAGCTGGACATTGCCCTGCACGGCACTGGGGCCGATGTGTCTCAGGGTCGCATTGCACATCGCACCACGTACCGAGCATCTCAAGGCGGATTGGCGCGATAGAGGTGCAGCGGCCAGATCGTCTAGTCGTCTTGGCATTGTTCATGACCCGGTCGTGTTACCGAAGACTTTTCTAGGCAGCTTTTCCCCCTCTTGACAGGATTTCCCCATTGTCCTCAAGATTTGTATGGTGATTGTAAGTTGACGTATCTTCGTGAGAGTCGACAACATGGCACAGGCCGACTTTATCGAGATGCAGCAGCCCAAGGGCGAGTACGCTGCGGTGAACACTACTAGCTCTTCTGAGAAGACGAGTGGCAGCGCCCATGCGCCGGTGGATGACAATGTCGGTTCATCGCTCAGGGTAAGTAACGAACTCCAATTCGATATGACGCGCGAGTGGACGTATGGTTCTCTAGAGTCTGACATCGAACGCAGAGACTATTCTCATTCTGGCAACTTTTGGCGTTCGCCCTTATTTTCATGTCATCATGGGAAGTCATGGCGATGGACATGGGAGCAACTTTCTACAATGGCGGACCGCAGACACTTGCTTGGGGCATCATTCTCGTTGTCGTGGGAGCAATGGCCCAGGCACTCTCGATGGCAGAACTAGCAACCATCCAACCGATTGCTGGAGCACAGTATCACTGGACTCATTTCCTCGCTCCCGAGAAGCACCGCAGGTTCATCACGGTAAGCCTCATCCAAGTGTCCAAACCAAAGCAGAAAGATAACGCTGACATGATTCTTACTGCTGTCAGTGGATGCAAGGCTGGGTCACCTGGTTCGCCTGGGTCTCCGCGCTCGCCGGCTCCGCAGCCTCGGAGGCCAACATCATCATGGGCCTCGTCGTCACCAACTACCCGTCCTACTCCTTCCAGCCGTGGCACCTGACGCTCGTCATCGTCGCGCAGCTTGTCGCGTGCGGGCTCATCAACATGTACGCCTTCCGTTCGATCCCGTGGATGGAGCTGCTCGCGGGCGTGCTGCACGTCGTACTCTGGGTCGTCATCGTCGTCGTGCTGCTCGCCCTCGCGCCGCGCGCGAGCGCCGACTTCGTCTTCTTCGAGCGCACCGTCAGCTCCGGCTGGACGAACGGCTTCGTGTCGTGGAACATTGGCATGCTGGTGCCGGCGTGGGGTTTCATCGGGTTCGACGGCGTGGTGCACATGTCGGAGGAGGTGCGGCGGGCGAAGCAGGCTGTGCCGAGGGCGATGCTGTGGACAATTGTGCTGAACGGGATCATGTCGTATGGGATCATCTTGGCGATTTTGTTTGCGATGGGCGAGCCGGATGCGGTTTTGGCGTCTGATTATCCCATCATCCCGTTGCTGTTTAACGCGGCTGGTGCCAAGGCGGGGACGGCGATGGTGTGCGGGCTGTTGATTATCACGTTCTGCGTGGTTGCCGCTTCGCTGGCGTCGGTGTCGAGAATTACGTGGGCGTGGGCTCGAGATGGAGGGCTCCCTCGGTACTTTGCCAAGATCCATCCAAAGCACCGGGTCCCGGTCAGGTCTGTCTGGCTGCCCTGTGTCATCGTCACCCTGCTATCGCTGTTTACGGTTGGCAACAACGCCACGGCAACCATCTTCTCGGCGTTCACGGCTCTGTCCTCTCTGGGCCTGTACAGTTCGTACATCATAGCAATATCCTGCATGCTTCACGCCAGGATGACGGGACGTATCGGTCACGGCCCGGAGTACGAGGTGCAGTACGGAGGATGGTCGTTGCCGAAGGGCTGGGGCACGCCAATTAACATTTACGCGCTGCTTTGGTCGATGTACCTGAGCATCTGGCTGCCGTTCCCGCAGACCGTCCCCGTCACGGGTACGGAGATGAATTATGCTGGCCCGGTGTATGTTGTCGTTGTTG